GGAAGAGTGGTGGTGTAAGACCCTTTGTCCAGGGTGGGACACACACACACAAGTCTGACACAAACAACAAATCCCAGTGAGTGGGGTCTTCAGGGAAGTTTCTCGTGTCGAGTGTCCTAGCGAGGCGGCGGGTTTGCTGTGGCTTTGGCCCGCTGGAAGCGCCGGCTGTTAGACAGGCTTGGTCGATCATTTGAGGTGAAAGGGTTGTGTTTTTATTTTTTTCCACAAACAATATCAAACAAATATGATCAACCAATATGAAACAACCCTGAGGCTTTGTGAAAGGCTTTGGGTTGATATGATATGATCAATATTGATCAATATTGATCCACAGATCCGCTGGGCTTATTCATGTTTATCGTTTTCTTTCGAAGATTTGGAGGCCCAGTTCGCATCGTGGAATCATTGGCAGGCAGATTCCCACCTATCAGCTAGCTTTGTGCTCGCCAATTGTGAGATGTGCTAGCACTGATGCTTGAGCTGGTTTCTGCATGACTTGCCATATGTGCTATGTTTCAAAGCCCGTGCGAGGGACGCGGAGGGACGGGAATTGCACTGATCAAAGCTAGAGAGCAGTTCAATAATTACCAGCGACTGATGTGGACGTGCAAAATTTGGATGAAAAGGGGCAGATCAACTCTGAATATAGTGATTCCAGAGGAGATACTCCACATTGCTTTCCATGTTTTCCTGCCTGGTACTTGTAGTTTTCTCTATGTTTCGGCGCAAGCTTTCTTGTCCACAACTGGAATTGGTAGCGAACTGAACCACTTCTGTTCAACGTTCGCACATGTTCGAACAGTAGTTTTGCTGCAAGTGGCAGATAGCTGTTCTTGAGATTATTGGAATGGTTAGCTGCAACTGTTGCTATTGCTGCCATTTGTTGTCAGTGCCACCAAACTTGAGTTGATGGTTCTTTTTTGACCAGTCCTTTTACCACTAAGGACACGCGCGTATATACTATCACACAACACAAGTCGGAGAAGCAGAGGAGGAGCTGCACAGTGCAAGCCACGAAAGGAGGATCTCAATTTCTTCGCCCACAGTCCCTTCTGTCATTCCGCCGAGAAAGCCTCACTCTTTCAGCGTTGCAGCAAACAATCTTTGCGTTTCTCAAGCGAATTTTCCTTCCCGTGGGCTTTCCACATTCCACAACAGAGAATTACCTGGTGTTCTCCCAGAGCACCTTCTTACAAATCTTTTTTAGCCAAATGTCGCGAATCATGGCCACACAAGCTATGCTGCTTGCAGTGGGTGTGGGAACAAAGCAGAGCATACCCTTGGCAGCAGTGACAGCGTGGGTGCTGAAGGATGGTATTGGCCACGTTGTGGCCATCGCTTTCGGGACCTTCATAAACCAGCGCTTTGACTCAGATCCAAAGCGTTTCCGCTTTCAGGCGGCAGTTCTTGGAAAGCTGGCAGATTTAGTGTCCATCTTGACCCTGCACTGGCCACAACTCTTTCTGCCACTCTCTGCCCTTGGGGGTGCTTTCAGCAGGCTCAGTGCGAATACTGGTGCAAGCTGTCGACCCAAGATTTATGAGACCTTCGCTCGCATCAGCAATCTGGGTGACATCATGAGGTGCTGATCCTGTTGTTTTTGCGATGTGTTTGTTTATCCTTTTTTGAGCTTCAACATTCTTGTTGAAACATCAACAGATCAACCTCTGGAGTGAAAAGTCTTCCAGTTGGAGCCCTGGGGAGGTGCATGACAGCCCAGACAACGGCTTCTCAGCTCTTGGGTACAGCGATGGGTGCTGCTGTGGGTCCACTTCTTGGCAGCAACATGTACGCGATCATGTCAGAAGCTGAGCGGGTGGTCGCGTGGTGTTTCATGGTGTGGGTCAAACATGTCACAACCGGTGCATATCCGAGGATCGATTTGGACACCGTTGGGTATTGTATGGTATTGTGTGTGTGTGTGTGTCATAGGCTATGTCTCCATGTGTTTTGAGTGTAGTTTGGGCCTCGTGCTAGGCCATGTAGTGCGATCTTGTCCATCGCGAGTTTGTATCCTGGCGACAATGGTGCACAGAAATTGGCTCACTCTGGCTCACTGCTTGATGGGACCTTCTGTGAAGATGAGCTGCGCCGAGGTCGGCTTGCTACCGAGCCACCTCTGTTGTGTGCTTGTCTACGCTGTGCCTTTGCCTGATAAGCATCAAAAAGTCTTTAATATTTGCTGAAACATCACCAAAGGATTGACCCGACTTGACTAGGGTGAGTTTTGGAAGAGCTTCTGCAAAATGATTTCAGCAAGGAGCCGACAGCGAGCAGAAAGGGTCTTCCAGCCGGCAGCGGAAGAGATTTGCCGTTGCAACGTGAAAGGCCTTTGCAGTCAGTTGACGGTTTTTGCATGTGTTTGCGTAGTAGGCAGGCAGGCAGGCACGCAGGTAGGTAGGTACTGTAGATTGTTTTTTTGGTTGGAAATTTGACGACAGCACTGTCGATTCTGAAGGTGTCGAGCCTGTCGACACGGAGTTGGATGTGTTTGCACCTCAGAGTCTTGGGAGCATTTTTTCTTCGGAGAAAAGCATGAACCACTGGACCCAGTGGAACAATCAGCCCTTTATAATCCTTTATATATATACACGCACACCTTCCCAACACATCTCGTTTGCGTACTGTTTGTGACATGGTGGCAAGCTCAGGCCAAGCATCAAAGATGTTCAAGAGAATGAGGCTGTGAGAACAAGATTGCAAGATACGAAGACTCCAAAGAATTCAGCTCTGTGCCTGTTCTTTGAACATCCTTCAACCCTTGGCACCAAAAGAAATAGCAGCGCAGTCAGCGGCAGGTTTTTGTGAAGCCGTTTCGTTCGCAGCATCCAACCAAGATGGAGGCATCGCAGCAGAGGTAAAGCATTCCAGAGCAAAGACGTAAAGCGAACAAAAGGGAAGAAAGAGGGGTCCAAGTCTAAGGGTATAACAACCTAAAGAACAAGGCAAAACACATCAGTATGTTAAAAGAAAGCCTTCTCGCTGCCAGTAGCAAGGGCTGGTACTGTAGTACTTCCAGACCAAAAGCATTCTGTCTATACGATTCAAACCTTGTTCACGAATGGACCTGGGTACCCTCAGACCGTTCTGTTTTGAGATGGAGGCCTGAACATCAATGATCGCGCCACAGGTGAATCCTCCAATGACAGCCTCACATTTGCTGTTGACGCCTGTCCATGACTTGCACCAGTCCATGTTTCTGCTGGCTGCCACTGCCTAAGTTCCAACTTTGGAAATTTAGATCATCACCTTTGTCAATACTCAACATATTCTTTGCCTAAGCCTTTTGCCTCTTACAAACAGAGACGGAACCTGACCTGGCCATGTAGTTCTTACACAATCCAATGGAGGCTCGCATGCCGCGGGAAAGTCGCACCTGGGCCTTGGGTAAAGCAGAGGAAGCCAGGCCAACCATTGCCCTGTGGCGCTTCCGACATGTTCTTGAGATACTTGAGATCTTAACTTCCGTCGCGTGTAAGAAAAGATGTTTCTTGGTCTTGGTCTCAGCTTCTCCAGAGGTTCCACGTGAAAGCAAGTGCCAGCGATGTCTTGCAGGGCTTCCTACAGGCAAGCTCCATCCATGGGTGTGGCCGCAGGACTTATTCTATTTAATGACGGCTTTTGGTCGAAGGTCCACCAAGCCGTGGGTCAACCCGGTCCTTCCAAGTCGTGGCATCGGCCTGGGTAGACCGCCTCAAATCCAGTTTGGAGGAGTCCGATCGCGCGGTGGGTGTCGTTGCTTTTCATGTAGCTAAGTGGTGGGTGTCGTTGGTTCCCAAGTGGTTATGGAAGGAACCAAATCATTCAGGCTCAGGCCCTTCCGCGTCCAAGATACTGGTGGCTGTATACTGGTTGGCCCAGCCTAGCCTACCCCGCCCCAAAATCCTTAAGTAAAAAGGCTTGTCAAAGTTGTGCAGTTTAGATGCCATCACATGCCCGGTCCGGTGGAGAGGGTCGGGTCAGAGAAGCGGACCAAAGGAGGGTCAAAGTTCCGGTAGTGGACATAGGATGATGCAGGATATGCAACAAGATGCCATACCCTCATTGCAGCGGGTCAATGTGACATGTCGACCTGGGTATCGCGAGGCGATCCTTTTGCGTGAATTGCTTGAGGAGGCTGGGTTCTTCGCTGTGGGTCATTGTTCGGTGCCACGTCCATTGTCCCGAAGCCTCCTGAGGAGCCAGTTTCATGCCGTGCCGGCCTCAGGAACACTGGTGACACTGCTGTATCCGGAGAAGAGCCTTTTGGAACTTTGTTTTTTTTTTTGCCACCACTGTTGATTATGCTGACACCAGCTGCGAGCCTCATTTGAGCCTGCGAAGACATGGCAAGCATGGCATGCACAGTTGAGAGAATTGGCATTGTGGATGATTGTGAAGGTTTCTGTTGCACAGGTGGTTTGGTGCACAAGTGATTGCTGCAGACCGTAGTGCTGTGATGATTCTGGCAAGCCTGACTGCTTCTGACGAAGCATTCCAACTCATCGCTACGAGCCTCATCTGAGCCTGCCAAGATGCGTCGGGCACGGCATGTACAGTTGTGAGAAGTTGCACTTTTGTTTGGTTGAGCATCTACACTTTGTTTGCTAGCAATCTGAGCAATCTGGTACATTGACAAGAACATCTTTGATCTTGACATTGCCTTGACAGCTTGTCATCTCAATCTCTACACGGCAACCTCCTCGGAGGGTTCTCTGATAGAAGCGCAAGGACACTGCTTCTGGAGAACGTCGGGCAGTGATGATTTTGGCATGTCTGCATGCTTCTGAAGAAGCACTACAACA